GACTCGTTATCAACAAATATAAACTACTCCTATTAAAAACATTATTTAATGTAAGAGTATATTGGGAAAAATGTAAGAAAAATTTGTATTTCCAATTATATTAATTATACTTTCTTAATTTGTGCAAACGTATAAACAAGATTCTCTTTATGAAATGGAGGAAGTGTTAGAATGTGGCGTATTAGGTGTTTAGAACGTGACGTATTCTATAAATATTTTTTCGACAATATTATGCAATTGTGTAGTATGTAATAATCGAAGAGTCGTTTGTTTCATCATACCAATCTTTCTAGAATAGATATTTTTAAAATCCTTTTAGAATGGACAACCCATTAAAATTTACATTCTCCTTCATAAGAAATATTAACTATATAGATATATTATTCTTCGGTCTAATTAGATATGTTCAAGTACTTTTTCATTTATTTGTTAGAAAAATTTAAACATATTCATGTCATAGTTTTTCACAACCGAAAACATTCATCTATCTAAATATCTTTGCAAAATCCGATAATTATCTTTAAAACGACGCTCTGTATAAAATAGGCAATAACCCATGTTATATCTCCTATTAATAATAGTTTAATTTTCATTATATCTATTAAGACTGAATACTAATCAGTACTGTGCTCAATTTCACTTATTACCAAAACCGCCACCACTTGCACGGTCGGCCGCCACCATCACCACCCAACGTCAGCACCATCGTCGCCTCAAACTAAGGCACCGCAAACCCATCTTTATCTTGTCATGAACCTCCATCTCCCTTTCAATCCGATGCAAAATCTCCAACTGGCTCTACTGCAAGTTGCACTCAATCAGCTCGTGCTCACTCACGTACCCATCCATTGAGTCCACACCAATCTTGGGGAACAAAACCACCAACTTAATATTGAACCGTTCCTTATCATTCATGTATTCCTCGGTATTCATGAAGTCCTTCCACTCAAGCTGAGAATTGGAGCCTCCGGGTGAGTTGTTGACGCAGCACCAAACAAGGAATTCAAGCAAAAAGAACGAATTTTGGAATCCACCAAATTATGAAATGAATAAACTCATAAATTTTACTAATGAAAAGAAGATCACAAACAATGAATTAACCCTTTATTTACAAGGGTCGACATGAAAACCTAGTTTAAACAAGGGTAACTTACAAAAATACCCTTAAAATTATGGGTGTTTTGAAAAATCATATGAAAAATTTTTTAGAAGTAAAAAATACTGTGTAGAACAAAAAAAGTGAAAAAGTGACATAATGTCACTTTTTTATAAAAATTGTCACTTTTATTAACACAATTCAAAAAAATGACACAAAATAAAAATAAACAAGTGACAAAATTCAAATAACAAAAACACTCCAAAAATGACAAAAAAGAAAAAAGAAAAAAGATGTGTGACATAAACTCAAAAAAAATGACAAACATCAAAATAACACCATTCATTTGTGCAATACCAGTAATCATGTTTTTAACATAATCAGCATGTATAGGACAATCCACATGCTAATTATGTTAGGAAAATAAAACATATTATGTCACATTTTTAAGAAGATAAGAAAGTGACAAAAACATAAAAGAAGACAAACTCAAAAAATTGACAATAAAACAAAAGTATCTTGGAAGTAAAAAAAACTGTGTAAATTTAAAAGTGATATAATGTCACCATTTTTTAATAAAAATTGTCAATTTTTTTTAAACACAATTCAAAAAAAGTGACAAAATTTAAAAAAAGTTACAAAGTCAAAAAAAGTGACAAACACCAAAATAACACCATCCATTTTGTTCGCCTACCCTTTCATATAATTTTCCACCGATCACCATCTCACATTACAATATTTACACTAAAATATAGTAACAAAAATTTTATATAAAAAATTGACAAAAATTTAAAAAAGTGACATAAGTTTTGAAAAAGTCTCAAAAAAGACACAAATTAAAAAAGTGACACAGATTAAAAAAAGTGACAAACACTCAAAAAGTGATGAAATTTTTAAAAAAAGTGACATTCAAAAAAGTGACTGAAAATTAAAGAAAAAAAAAGCTTTTTATCTTAATACAAAAATCAATCAAATAACTAGGGACAAAAAGACCCACAAAATCACGAACATCAATTTTTTTGGAAGTAAAAAAAACTGTGTAAATTTAAAAGTGATATAATGTCACCATTTTTCAATAAAAATTGTCAATTTTTTTTAAACACAATTCAAAAAAAGTGACATAAGTTTTGAAAAAGTCTCAAAAAAGACACAAATTAAAAAAGTGACACAGATTAAAAAAAGTGACAAACACTCAAAAAGTGATGAAATTTTTAAAAAAAGTGACTGAAAATTAAAGAAAAAAAAAAGCTTTTTATCTTAATACAAAAATCAATCAAATAACTAGGGACAAAAAGACCCACAAAATCACGAACATCAATTTTGATCTCTTATCAACAAATCATTCCCAATTATCACCCTAAACTTGATAAAGCCTTTTATCTAATTCCATATCAAAATATGGATCAAGTGAAGCTTCAACAAGCGTTTCTTCCCAATTACAAAGAAGAGGCGATGGCAATGACTCTCTAACCCTCTTCGCGACAAAATGTCCCCACGGACCATGTCCATCAAATATCCCACAGACTATAATCTCTTCTTGGCATCCAAATTCCTACAACAGTAAATTACACAACCTATTTATCACCAAGAAACCTCAAAGAAAGCCACATTTTCATAGCTAAATATACCTCCCAAATAGAAGAAAAATTCTTCGACCCATTGACATTGATAATGCCTGATGATCGTAGTATCAAGTCATTCTTTTTTGCATTTTTTTTATCATAGATTTCTCTAGCATCAGAATTCCCACAACTGTTCTTCAAACTCTTCATTTTCTTGGTTGAAAGGGTCCTTGCTAATCCATTGAACATCGACGATAAATGCCCCATTGGCACAATTCTCTATCTGCACAAATTCAAATCATACTCAAATCACACAGATAGGCATATAATCTATATATAGACATGATCACATCAATCTATGAGAAATTTAACTTCATTAAGTTGCTTGTAAAACCAACATGTATAAAGTAAAATTTAACTTCATTAAGTTGCTAGCGCTCATCTTAGATTAAGTACAGTAAAATATCATTCAAGATTGCTTAAAGTGAGTGAAACACAAGTTTGAGTTAAACTTTTTTCTTTAGATTATAGAGCGTGCAAGAAACTAGAAGAGGAAACGGAGAGAGATTGTAAATGCCTGGAAAAAGAAGAAGAAATCAATCAAATAACCAGGGACAAAAAGACCCACCAAACCATGAACACCAATTTCGATCTCTCATCAACAAATCATTCCTAATTATCCCCCTAAACTCCATCACTCCGTCTTTCTTTCCATACTTGATTGCATTAACAATATAATGCCACAAAATAAAATGATCTAATCTCGACATTGTAGCGAACAATGTAGAATTAGAATGAGAAAAAACATCATTTGAAGAAATTGAACAAATCAATCAACGTTTCAGCCTCAAAATTGGGGATGTAAACAAAGAAATCAAATCTAAAATCATATCGACTTGAAATCACTTGCCAATATCAATTCTCAGCTCTTTTCTAAAAGATTGGAGAGTTCCTGCAAATTCTCTAAATATCAGAAATTCTCGTTACATTCTAGGAATCGGAGCCTCAACAGGGAGATTCTTCGAGATTCGGAGCCGGAGTGGGGCAATAAATAGGCATCAGTTTGGAATTGGATTCAGGTTCAGTACATTAAATATGGCTATCTTAACCAATAGTGCTGGAGCCTACCTCGACGTAGGATTTTCTAGTCGTCCTCCTTCCTCATCGTAGTCAGAAGCAGTTGAGTAAGCTTGGAAGGATAATAATTAATATGTTCTGATGAAAGAGCTATATTGGTGGGATGGGGGTTTTGCGGTTTAATAACGTAATTAATACGTTCTTAAAATATTTAATTATTTATTAGGGTACTAATCAAATTAGTTATTTTCTAAGGGTATTGGACCTAATTTTCCCTTTAAACAAACTAAAGTTGAAAAGAATTCAAAATAAACTTAATGACAAAAATAGCACTAAAAACTTTAAAAGTAGTTTTGGAGTCCTAAACGAACTCGAATGGCCAAAATCAATTGTATGACACAGCAAAGCAATGAGTTCTACTTATCTCATCATCGTCTTATCAAAATGGTATTATGGGCTCAAACTAGAGTTCAGATACTCGTGTCACGTCGAGGTACTATAGAAGAAAAACAACAAAATTAAATCCAAGGATAGGTTCGTAGTGGTGGTGGGGCTCTGCCTTTAAGTTGAAGTTGGGCCGAAGTCTAAGGTGGCGATAGCGGTAGGTTGGTGTCGATTTGACAAAAATATTGTATATGAGTGAAGAGAATGAGGTGAAGGTTGTTGACAAGAAGTTCTTGGAATGAAGGGGATTGGTTATGGGATGGAGTTAAGTTTTAGGTAGTAGTGCCTTAGTTTGAGGTAGCGATGGTGTTGGCAAGGTGGGCGACGACAGCGATCAGCCACTAGTGACGACGATTTTGGGGGTTTTTTTTCGTTCTTGATTTAATTATTGTAATTATATTTTTTGTGAAAAAAACGTAACTTAACCATTTTACTCTTTTAAAAATTGATCAAAATATGTCAAAATTCACTATTCTGATCAACTATAGTCAAATAGATGGAACGTCCTTCTGGTTCGACTATTTCAAAGATTTGGGCCTATGAGTGGTACAAACTAAAAGTTTGTGTAAAGTCTACGAAAGAAAAAGAAGAAAGGTTTGAAATCGTGACTGCAATTTTCTCTAAATTTTAAGATATTTTTCTTACTTATAAGTTATTTTTGTACATTTTAATTCATTCGAAAACAATTAAGTTTTAACTAATTAATGTAATCCTAGAAACTTTACCTCTTTCAAAACCGTAAGAAATTAACATCATGTATGGAGTAGAAAAATTCTAAATCCAAAGTAAAGAATTGTTGCAAATAAGGAAGAACAGATTACTAGCTAGAAAAGGAATAAAATTTTCATAATAAATAAACACGGTAGAAACTTACTAACTAATAGGAAACTTAAAAACCGTAAATTTCTTTCCACACACAAATTGCAGTAATTAGTAATTACTATTCACGGCAGATGCTTTTGCATGCTTTATTTTTTATATACAATTACTTCACAAAAATCAAACTTTTACACATTATTTTCTTAAAAGCATAATCAAGAAAACCTTAATAAAATTCAAGCCATCATCATTTGCTGAAATTCTTGATAATCAAGTTCGCCATTACCATCCATATCATAAACTTGAATCATAGCCACGCACTCATCATATGATTTCGAGTCCCCTAATCGACTCAAAACCCTCTGCAAACTTCTGGGCGTAATCCGACCCGAACCTTTTTCCAATTCAAATATTTCAAAGGCTCTCTTCAAATCCTCCTCTTCACCTTCTTTCTCCATTAGCTTCATAAAATCTTGAAAATCAAGAAAATTATCTTTATCCGTATCAAGATTATTTATCACTATTTCAGCATCCTCGTGGGACATATACTCTCCTACAGATTCAAAATAGGATCTTAGTTCATGTGCAGAAATTTTTCCATCATTATCACCATCAAAACGACGAAAAACTTCCTTATATTCCTCCTCTCTTGAGTTGTTACTACTCGAGTTTCGTCGTGGTGTCGTAATTGGTGATTTTGGAGTCCTAGGAGAGCTTAAGGATTTTGATTTTGATTTTGATTTTGATTTTGATTGTAGTAAACTCAACGTAAGCTTCTTTGGAGAAAAACTACGAAAAGATCTGGAAATTTTAATGGGTTCCATTTTTGTGAAACAAAGAGGAGTTTCGGGCCCTTAATATATAGGGTCGAGAACTAAATAAAAGGCTTTGAAGGAAAAAGGAAGAAGCATAAAGCAATTGCCATGAAATTGCTAGGTACAACTTACTGGTTGAATTATTAGGTTAAACTTTCCAATGCTGGAACCTGCATGGAAATTTCTCAAGGGCCCAAATAATTGACCTTGTACTGACCTCCATTGATTCTCACGTCCGCATTACGCTAACTACTTTAGCTTTATCAATCATTATTTTTTTACAGTATACATTTTCAATCATACATTATTCATTAAAAATAATATTATACATAAATTAAAAAAAAAATTATTTCTTTTTTAACAACACATTTCAACATCAATCACTGTTCTATAATACACTTTTAAAATTAAAAGGGGGGAGGGGGGGGAACAGGCAATTAATGACTTATGGCTGGGTTTGCCTCTCTAGCGGGGCGACCCATGATACGGTTCAAACCTAATTTATACGTCTAGACATCAGTAAGGGTTTGAGTGAAAGTGGAGTCAAGACGTAGCGACGGAGTCAAATATTATTTATTGTGGGATCAAAATTTAACTTACGATTTTATTTTTTTTCCAAACAATATAACATTAATAAAGATAATTGAATACATTATTACAAATGTTGCCTACTCATTTTCTTACAATATTTATATCATTATCAATATTGTCAAATACATCGTCTTCAATATTGTCAAAACTAATTAGACTATCAATAATTTATTCATTGATCTCTACTAGTGTAAAATCCTAAGATAACACTCGATCACTCAATCAAAATAAATTGATCTTATTGATAAAAATAGAATCAACCAAATAAACTATTCAATGACAATTAAAGTGTAAATTCACCCATGCCAGGACGTAAATTTCACAATATGACTTTTAAGTTCAAAGTTGATATTTTAAACACATATACATAATGACTTATATACAGATGATGTGATGAAATGTGATTGAATCAAAATTTTTTAAAACAAATAGAAAAAATATCCACTTTCTTTTTAACACATCATCCGTGTATAAATTATTATGTAACTTCATTATATACAAATAATATTATTCATATCTTAAATTGTTTAATCGAATTAGAAAGACAAGTTGAAACTTTGTAAATGTGTACCACTTAAAAGCATATAACATATGGCTTGCCATTAAGTCCACGTGCAAAAACTTAAGTCGCCTAACAGAATTAGGTTTGCCGATTTTATCAGTGGCTTTGGGACAGACAAAGAGCATTGATCCTTTGCCTAACTTCTTGTTGGATGAACTAATCCATGAATTATATTTCATTAATAAAAACACTTGCATGCTAATACTAGATTAACGATTCATCGAGCCCTTGTTTGGCTCCATTTTTTGGGATAGAATGAATTTTTGAATAGTGTATTGATGGGAAATGTGTAGTTAAAAAATAAAGGAAAAGTTTTAAATTTATGTGTAATATTATTTTATTGAAGAATTTGTAATTGAAATGATGTCAAAACACTGTTGAAAAATGAATTTTTGCAAAAGAATGAGGCTCAAACAAGGGCCGATTCATAGTACGTGCATTATAATGAGCAAATCACTACTTATTCAAATATAAAAAATGCAAAAATTGAAGGAGATAAAATAAAGTGAGATATGCTAATGCAAATCTCCTTAAGATAGTGTCGCCTCTTGTACTAGTGATAACAAAATCAAATGAACATCTGTTTCCAAAAATACAAAGCTTCTTCCAAAATTAATATAGTACAACATTAATTTTGTCTTGTGAATCAATGCTTGATTGTGCTATTCTAGAATGGAAGATATCGAATAATAAATATTGTACACGAAACTCAATATAATATGGAAATTCTTTTGACAGAATTTAGAGAAAGAAAGAATTAGAAATTGTGGTGAAGAAAATGGAATTAGGAGGGTCATATTTATAGATTTTCACGTCTCTTCCTAACGGTCTCATCTATTGACAAAATTAATTTTGACCATTAGATTGCACCATTTTATATATAATGGTGTAGATTGTGCCTTAATAAAAGGTTATGACTTTTCATTATGCAACTTTTGCACTTGAAGAGTCACACCTAATTGTTACACCCATTTGAGACTTTTTCCAATTCACACATTTTGATCTTTTGATATGCCTTTAAATTTCAACAATCCCTCGTATGAATGGATGAAGTCGACTCAGAATAAAGAAGATGAATAAGAGTACAATTGAAATATAATGCATGAGTATCGGTAGCTTTCGCTTTGAATCTTCCCTAGTAAGAATCTGTCGAACTCACTTGGCTAATTAGTGAACACAACGTTTTGAACTGTTGATCATTATTGTAAGTCTAGACAATAGATAGACAATAGATCGAACACATTATATCTTATATCAAACTTTGGTTCTCTGTTGTTTTTATTATTTCAGCCATGAATTTTCTTGTTTTGCAAGTGCTCTAGAAAATTCGTCTAAGTAAAATTATCATAGAACCGACCAAGTTCGTACTCATATAGATGATGTTCTATAAAAAGAACCCTACAATACTCCACATGTACTGTTTACTAGATATAGTCATCATTAAAAAAATAGTTTATCCTAACGAATCTTTTGGACGCAGCACTTATTTGCATCATAGAAATGGGGAGGAGTTAAAACTTTGAAGTGCCTTTCAATCGAGTCAATCATAACTAGCTTTCCTATTGAACCTAATCCATGAGATCTCCATTCACCATGTTAGGTTTTCATTAAATTGACCCAATTTACACCTCTTTCCCTCGATGAGCAATTTATTCACTCTCTAAATAATCTCTTTGCAAATAGTTTCACTAGATTATCCTTCGTTAAAACAATCACAATTGTTTGAGAGCAACTGCCAAATTGTATTATGTCTACAGCATAGATTTTTAAGCTCTATTTCTTCAATTCTCAAATTGTATGGAGAATTTCCACGAAACAACCACTCTAAATAGTAAAACATATTTACTAGTAAATTTTGAACCTTTGCATTGAATATCCAATTTTAAACATTATGCAATTGTTAAGTTTAACAAGGTTTCACCATAGCATAGTTTATCATTTTGAATATTCTTCAAATATCTCAATATTCTAATTTGAAGAAATAACGCCACCCCCACAAGTTCCATGGTGTATCCGAACTTTAGTCCAATCTTTTCAAGTTCGATCATATCATTATTATGTCTATCTACCAAATAAACAATTTATCCCGCCTCTAGTCAACATCGACTAGGAATGTCAATGTCTCATGAAAGCTCATGCTCTATCATGTTTGAGACTACCAATTCATAAATAGAAATGAAAACCCTTTTTCCCATTTCAAAGAAATTGCAGTCTTATTTAATACTCATTGACCCAACTTTAATTGGACATATCATGGTCAATGCACATACCAAGATTCAGTTCATGAGTCACATCACATTAAGCCTGATCGCAAAACGAGGTATATAGGAAAAATGATAATGCATGAAAAGCACTTGTGCCACACTATCCGATGATAGTTTTCCTGCAATTCAATACTGCATCTAAGTGCTACTTTGTGAGTTTAATAACATCCAACCATTTTATATATGGCAAATAAATACATTTCGTGTTTTTCTCAATGCTAAACCCATTTTCAGTCGGGGAAAAATATCAAATTGACCAAAAGCTAGTCACTGTTGAAAGAGCAACGTAAAAATGCATTACTTTCAGATTAATTAGCAGCGCTTGACAGTGAGCACCAGACATAAATTGAGTCATAGCACCACTTTGGTCATTCCGGACACCAATAATATATTATTATTTCAAACCATTGAAATTGTTAATCGAAATCTGCCCCACTGTGGTATTGATTTCTGTTCTAACCTTTGGGGTGATTATCGATTAGTCAAATGTAAGGGTTAAAGACAAAATTTCATAAGCACTGCTTCACGTGAAAGTTCACGTACTTTCACTTTAGTACAACATGCCCTTTCATTTTGTTAGCAAATAATATAACCAAAAGTCATTTGTCCTTGTAATTGATGATTTCCATCTCCGAATGAAGAATGAAAGAATCCAATATCTTCATTAATGTGGAATAAAGAATTTATTTACAACGATCGAGTTTGAAATAAACAAAAATAAATTGACATCCAATCTCTATTGATGTCAAATGCAAAAGTGTGACATTATAAATATAAAGTAATTAGCGCAATTTGGATTAAAAATGGTTGAAGATATACACACTGATTCATGAAAGAATGCACCTTTGGTGTCATGTTAGAATTTCGACAAAACGCAAGCACTGCCTTTTCAAGACTTACTGAACAGAAGCAATGTACGTGCATTCGACATTTATTTATTCGCATTTCAAAATCAACGTGCCCTTGACACATAAACGAATGCATGTACTAATTGATATGGATTTTTACAAATTTGAATGACCGAACAAACTTGAAGATGAAGAGAATCAATTATGCAGTATCACATTATTATGGTAACAAAAATGACATGCTCCAAAATATATGCATTTTCATAACAATGGTGCCTTGCAATTCTTTTTGTAAAGAATCATCGAATAATCCTAAGCCTCAATTTTCAAGCATAACAATTTCTAAACATGCAATTTAGCCATAGAATGCAGAGAGATTTAGAATGATTAAGAAATATCTCTCTAAAACCATAATATAAATTGTACAAGTGGGGTCCGTCTTAAGATTGTTGAAAAAATCAGAGCATGAATTATATTTTGTTAGTTAAAAACACGTGCATGCAAATACTAGAGTAACGACTCACCGACTCATAATATGTGCATAATAATGAGCAAATCACTACTTCAAATGTAGAAAATGTAGAAATCGACTGAAATAAAATGAAGCGATACTCCCAAGATACAACCCTTTTTTCAAAATTAATATAGCACAAAATTAATTTTGTTGGACGAACCAACGCTTGACTGTACTCTTTTAGAATGGTATCAAATAATCAATATTGAACAAGAAACTCAAAATAATCTGAAAATTCTTTGGATAAAATTTAGAGAAAGAAAGAATTAGAAATCAATTATTATGAATTGATTTTGATTGAAGAATATGGAATTAGGAAATCCTATTATGGATTTTCATCCGT